CTTTTTGAGACAGGGTCTCACTATGCAGTTCAGGCTGGCCTTGAGCTCACTTTGTAGCCCAGGCTGGCCTCAAACTTACAACGATCCTTCTGCCTCAGCCTCCCGACTTTCCAAATTTTTGGGTCTACATTTAAAAATTGAGAAGTTTTACATTACAATATGGAGAGCTGGTTCTTCTGAAAACTCAGAACCGAGGATGTTGGGCTGCATCCGCTAATGGTACCCTAATGGTCATGATTGGCTAGTGCTTCGTCAGGGCGGTCCCCTCAGTAGGCAGTGTTCTGTGACCCACCTTGGTCCTCCTAATCTCTCTCATTCCTGACTCGAGTCCTTATCAGCTTGACTTATACCTATTTCTACTTACAGACATTTTTATTTAAATTGCAGTGCTGGGAATCGAACTCAAAGCCTCAAGAATTCTAGGAAAATTCTCTACCACTGATTTACAGCCCATCCTGGACCTACACATGCATTCGTCTTCAATCCCTTGGAGTAAGATGTATGATAATATTAGGGTTAGAAATATTTAGAGAAGAGCCAAGTACTTTTCCCTTTAAGATAAGGAGTATTTTCTTCTTGTTTTTCTCTTCTCTTTCTCAAATTTTATTTTTTTAATTGATACATAAAAACAAAAATTGTACATGTTGGGCTGGGCGTGTGGCTCAGTGGTAGATCCAGTGCTGAAAAGAAAAAGAAAGTACACATTCATGGGGTACCGTGTGTAGTTTTGATGCTTGTATGTATTGTATAATATGTAAATCAGGTTAAACATGGCTGTCTTCTCAAACGTGTCATTTCTGTATGGTGAAGACGTTCACTGAGTTCTTTCCTCCGGGTCGTAACTTACTCATAGTTCCCGCTTTTTGTGTGATGTGAGGTATGGACCAGGCCAGGACTCAGAGGGAGTAACAGGTAGTGTCTGGACTTCACCCCACGTCAGGGCTATGTTTTTATTGCTGGTAGTACCTCCCCTCCCTTGCGGTCTAGGGGTTCCCAGGGCCTGTGAGATTGTAGGGGTAAAGCTAGTCATGCGAGCAGCAGAAATCGTGGGCTGAGGGAATCGGTATAAAGAAGCCAACTAGCAGCTTCTGTGTGCTTCCATCTCTGCACTGGGTAGTCGCTGGCTGTAGAGAACATAGTCAGCGGTGCAGAACTACACGTTGAATGAAAAATAGACAGGCAGGGCTATATATTGAAGGCAGAAGAGAGGAGGAGAGCTGACAAATTTTTTTTTTTTTGGTCTTGTTGAGACAGAGTCTCACTACATGTGCAGTTCAGGCTGGTCTTTTTTTTTTTTAAATTTATTTTAAGAATAAAAGAAGGAAAACATTAGCAAACACATCCATTTACAAAACAGCATAAGAACAATACACGCAATACAGAGTTACAGACAAGGTGGTAGGAAATTAACAATGGTTGTTGTATTACATATTGATATCTTCAAAGTGGTTTCTCAGGAAAACAAATAGAGACATGCAAGATTGATTCAGGCTGGTCTTGAACTTACTTTGTAGCCCAGGCTAACCTCAAACTCACAATGATCCTCCTGTCTCAGCCTCCTGAGTGCTGGGATTACAGGCGTGCGCCACCACGCCTGGTGAGATCTGACAAAATTTTAAAAAGTGAATCAACACCTAGTGGAAATTGAAAAATATTTAATGACCTTTTTCCTCCCATATATTTAGAGAAAATGCCATTTTTCTAGCCAGTATCATGCATGCCTCTCTCTTTTTCTTTTGGTGAGACAGTGATACACTTTTGTCGCATTTCTCAAACAAGTTTATTTGCAAATCCCTGACATTCTGTTTAAGTGGTTTGGAAGTCGGAGCAAATGATAACAAGAGCAGCTGAGAAATGAGGTTTTGGCCTGGTTATTGTCTGACCAGGTGTGCTGGGGCCCCTGAACTTTCAGAAGCTTTTGTGTTTCCATCTGTACCAAGGGGATTAGTGGCTTAGTCTAATCTCAAGGGAGCAAGTTTTAGTGTTACTACTTATAAGCCAGAAACTATAATGTTATGTTTTTTTTACACAGCACCATCTGCTTTGGGATCCAGCGTGCTTAGCGTTTCCCCGGGACTCTCTCTCTCCATGTAAGTTTTGTGTCTGGAAGAGTGACTTCACTTTGGATGGGGCAGCAGATGTGTGTGGTGAAATGTAAGGCGCAGTCGTCAGCCATGCGCTCTTCAGCGCCTAAGGTGGGTGGGGCGTAGCGCTGGACTGCTGTGATGGAAACAAAGTTCATGGACTGTAGCTCCTGCCTTAAGGCACCTAGGTGGGGCATGGGTGACAAAGGCACACAAACACATTTAAGAGCTATAGGAAATCAAAAAAGTTAATGAGGGTGGGTAGAAGAGAGAATATGCAGGCAAGATTAATTTCCAAGTGAAGGCTGCAGGTGTTAGGCAGCTAGGAAGTCTGAGTTCTCTTTGATAAAGTTCCTCCTTAAGGAGTGGCGCAGTCCAGAGTGAATGTGCAATTAGAGGGACCCTTCGGTGGGAACAAAGCTGCTTGCGTAAATGTGAGGGGAAGCCTCTCATGTGTTGTCTCTCTTCAACACAGTCCGGAAATTCATTCTGTAACAAAGAACTATAATTCCCAGTCAATGACACCTTCTAAATCCTCTCAGACTATGCCCAAAATTACAGAGAAGGGACGGCGAGTCGGTTCCCTTCAGTCAGAACTGGATAGCTGTGTGCTCTGCTCAGATGCCTGGGATCTAACGGAGATGGGCCAGCAGCCAGGAGATAAAGCGAGTCAATACAGGACCGGAGAGCACTGATGCTGGGCAGATAGGGAGGAAAGGGCTGGGGTTTGAAAGCATGACCTCTAAGTCTTCGTTTGTAATGAACAGAGTCTAATGGATGGCTGAGATCTGAGACCCCATGCACCTGTGTCTGAGGCTACCCAGCCGGCAGCTGGGCCATACTCCTAGATAACCGGGATGAGCTCTGTGGGAACGTGACCGCCTTCGGGTTATCTTTACACCTTACTGAAAAGAACAGGGGCAGGAGATTCCCTCTAAAGGAGATGGGCCTGGGGCTCAGTGGTTGAGAACGTGAACCTTGGCAGCGAGACCTAGCTCCCTCACTGACTGGTTGCGTGGCACTGAGCAACTCACTGACCCTCTCTGAATTTCAGACTTACTGCAAAATGGAGAGGAAGATGAGGGTAGCCAAGAGTGGTGGTGGTGTATGCCTGTAATCCCAACTTCTCAGGAGGCTGACGCAGGAAGATCGTGAGCTCAAGACCAGTGAGACTCCATCTCAATACAAAAATATCTATAAAACACAAAATATCTATAAAATACAAAAGCTTATCTATCCTGTTATTATTAAGGAAAGTGACTGTAGGGGCTGGGGCTGGAGCTCACTGGTAGAGTACTTGGTTTGCATGTGCCAGGTCCTGGGTTCAAACCCTGCCACCACCATGGGGGTGGGAGGGAAATCAAATAAAAGTGTTGTTTGCTTTTTTTTGTTTGTTTTTTTCTTCCGGTACCGAGAATCGAACTCACTACCTTGTGCTTGCCAGGCAGGCACTGTGCCACAGAGCTAAATCCCCAGACCCTGTTTTTTACTTTTGAGACAAGGTCTTGCTGTGTAGTGCATGCTGGCCTTCCAATTGCTTATGTAGTCCAGGCTGGCCTCGAACTCATGGTGATCCTACTGCCTCAGCCTCCAAAGTGCTGGGATTACAGGCATGTGCCACCATGCCCAGCGGAAACAAATGTTTTAATTACTTTTTCTCTCTATAAGTTCTGGATGTATCTTAGGGACAAAGCAGGAAGGATGATCCCATCCTTCCTCTTAGCTCTCCATCTGCAGTGTTTGAAAAGATGAACAAATAACTCATGTAGTTGGGTGGGCGGTGGGAGGAGATTTAGAGCTTGGCCTCCATTTTCATAACCTTGAGATAGACATATGTAAGGATATAAGAGCAATTCTCTCCAAGGTGTACGTGGAAGTCTGCTGCTGAGGGACCAGGATATTTCTCTTTCTCCCTGCAGAGATTTGTAGATATCTTAGAGCAGAGCTTCTTAAACTCTGTTGTGCACATGAACTTCCTGAGAATGTAAGTTTCTAACAAGCTTCCTAATGATGCCCATGGAGTCCCAGGCCCTCCGTTCCTGCCCTGATACTGGGGAGGGAAGCTGGGGCCTCACACATGCTAGGCAAGTGCTTTGTCACAGAAGACTGAGCTACACTCTCAGCCCTTCTCACCACATTGGAAATTGCAAAGTCCTAGAAAGTCTTGGGTCGCTTAGTCCAGTGGTGTGGTTGAAACATCTTATAGCTTCCCTGGAAAGATTCATCCAACTCTTGGGTCCTTCCTTGTGAGGCAGCCCTTTGGTTCCTTAGGCAGGGAAGCTGAAGGCACCTTCATTTCATGGAGCTGATGTTTGCCTCAGCTATCCACTGACCTGAGTTCATTCTTTCAGTAGATGGTGGACCTTTATCTTGAGGCTCCTGACCTTGGTTTAGGTTTGCTAAAGAATCCGTGGATGGGCTTAGGCAGGGGTAGTAGAGGGATAGCAACCCCCTGAAAATGTTTTTTAGCATTCGGTTTGCACGTTTGCTTTGCTAGGGAGAGTTCCAGAGCTTTCAACAGATTTTTGGAGGGAATCTGTTTGCTGTAGAGGATGAAGAAGCATTGACTTCGCCCTTGAGAGCTGTGTTCCTCACACTTCTCTGGAAACCTAGTTTATGTGAAAGCACTATCAGTTTGGATTATTTAGGTTGCAGATTAAAATATTTTTGAAGGGAATTTGTTAGTTTCTATGTTAGTCACTGTCCTGTTCCTGCAATAAAATTTCTGAGATAGTTAATTGGGAAAGGGGGAGGGCTTATTTTGACTCTTGGTTTTTGAGGTTCCAGCCCACGGTCAGGTGGACCCATGACTTTGGGCCTGTGGTGGCAGTGCTAGATGACAGTGGTGGGGAGTGTGTGGGAGAGTAGGATGGTCACCTCACGGCCAGTAAGTGGAAGGATGAGGAGGAGGCTGAGTCCCTCAGTCCCAATCCCCTCCTGTTAAGAGCCTGACCTCCCATGCCTTATGGATGTCCCACTAGGCCCCTCTTCCTAAAAGTCCACAGTACCTCACAGTGGTGCCGTGCTGGGGACCATGTGTGTAACGTATGGACTGTTGGGACGTACTGAACATCCAAACTGTAGCAGTGTGTTTATAGGACTGGGGTCGGAGAATGGGACTGTGCCTTCAAGCAAAGCACAACCCAAAGGCTCACTTTTATTAAGGATGCAGCTCCCCACACCCACTTCATAGTTACCAGGGTCCCAAGTCTTTCTTCCGTGGACTTCATGGACTTCCATGCCCCACATTCCACCAACCTGAATGCTTTGTATTGATTTTTGGACCATGTGTGCAGGATTCCTATGAAGGATCTTACTAGACTATAGTCCTGTTTATAAGTGAAATAAGCCCTTAGCTATCGAGCTTTCACTTTGTAGCAGGCCTATATACATGGACTGTTGGGAAGTATCTTCACTGCATCTTCACAAGAACCATGAAGGTGGCTGGTACTGTCGTCCCTATTTAGAAACAAGGAGCCTGAACATGCAGAAGTCAGGAAAGTTATTCAGGGGATGGAGCTGACAAGAAATGCAGCCAAGTGTCCACCTGAAGTGGACTGACTTCAGGACCCACAGACTTAGCAGATTGCCGTATTTCTTTCAACACCACACAGCTTTATGAAGTGTCCGTTGGGATCTGGCACCGTATTTGGTGAAACTGGTGATGGGAAAGTAGACAGACCTTTCCTTTAAGGAACTGACTCTTTGCAGAGCATTTGTAACTCAGTAAAGAGAATACACATCAAGCAGACAGAGTGAAGCCATGGAAACAATACCCAGTGCCACGTAAGTGGCACAGGATGTGCACCTGTGGCCGGCTCCCATCTCAGCAGCCACAACTCCCTGGCTTGCTTTTGGACATCGCTTGCCCATGGTTCCACACCCCCCCTCCTACTTTATCCATTCTCACAAGTTCCCCTCCCAGTTTTTATCTTCCCCTTGTGTGACCTCAGCTTGTCCCCAGGGGAAACCGCTAACCATTTGCCTCCCCGGTTCTCGGTCCGTGGTGAACTCCCAGCTGGCATCCGTAGCACTTGGAGGTGACCTAGTTTGAGTGAAATGCTTGGCTTTTCAGTTGCATGTTCAATAGGCTGAGTTGGCAGCTTGTCAGCGGGCTGATGTCACCTAATGACCATGGCAATTCCCTCCTCCCCTGGCTTCCTGTTAGTAAATATCCTCAGGATGCTCTTGGAACCCAGAAAGTATGGGAGGCTTCTGAGAGCGGGGGACACACACACACACACACACACACAGGAAAAAGAAAGGGAGAGAGGAGCAGAGAAGACCTTGCCCTCCTTACTACAAGGAAAAAAAAATCCGAGGCAATTCGGAATTCAGAGGGAGAGCAACTTGCAGTAAGATGTCTCCCGACAGAACAGTTTTGCTCTTGGAAGGACATTTGCTTTTTTTTTCTTATCTCCTCTCTGATCTCCTTTATCTCCCCGCTCTTGCCCTTCCTTCCTGCTTGGCACTGTTCAAGTGGGATTATTTCTCGTCCACTTCAGTGACCCGCAGGGAGTAAGCACAGAGACATTTCCTCCCCTGTGGCTCTCCTTGAATGTTTAATGATCTCTCCCTCTCGCCTTCCCTGGGTTTCTCTTTATAAATATTTTCTTACGGCAGAGAAGAAGAGCTTCAGGAGTGCCCGTGAAGTCCCGCAAAGGCCAGCTGCTGCACCCAGGTTCCCGCGCCGTGACCTCCCCTCTGCCCCTGGGACCGCAGCCTGGACAGTGGACGGCGTGTGCGCAGACCCCTGGCTCCTGCCTCCAAGGGGCGGGAATTCCGGAGTGGCTATAGGGATTCCAGGCCTTGCCAGCCCTGTGGGAGTCGGGTTAGAGATTGCAAACAACGGCGGTGATACTTGCCTGTCAGGCCTTGCCAGAAGCTATATCAGCTTATCCTCTGAGGCCTGGTCACTTCCTGGGTCCTCTCCAAAGACTGCTCCCGGGGAAGGCAAAATTCAAGTTCACATAAACCATGAGAACAGATGAATTGGTTAGCGTCCTGTCTGTGTCACTTTCTGTAAACGGTAAAAACATGGAGTTTTAAACCTGAAGGTTACTGTCAAATTTTCCCAGCAGAATACAACTACTTTTTTGAATAGTATCTCCCAGGGATTCAGCCTTTCTTTCCTTCCCAGCTTTGGTTGATTACATCCGTCCATCTCTTCGCTCATAAGCACTTGTGGAGTCCTTTACTGCCGGGCAGTGGGTGAGCACCACAGACACGGCCATGCCCTCGTGGTGTCTCTGGTCTCCGGAGACAGGCAGATAACCAAGCTGTAAGACTGTAACATGTGAGCCCTGGCGGCACTCCCCCGTGGAGGGAAAGCTCAGGGTGCTGAGCTGGACAGGCTAGGTGAGGCCCACCTGAGGTGATGACATTTGAGGCCAGATGCCAAGGACGAGGTGGAGCCTGCAGGTGGGGAGCTGGCAGGTGTCCCGAGCAGTCCCCGCTGGGGCTCCATGAATATGCAGGTCCCTTGGCAGGTGTGAGCTTGGCAAACGGCTGCTTAAACAGAAACGCATGGAATTTCAGGCTAAGTTGTGCTGGGTTGCTGATGTACGTCTACGCAAAGAGGCAGTGATAGAAAAAAAATTCAACTGTCTCCTTAACGCTGGCTGCACCCTGGGAGAAGAGCATCACCATATCAGTTATTTGTCTTTTGGAAACCAGGGCCCAAGTGTGAGAGGTTAGACAAGAAGAAGATGCGGTATCCACCCCTGCTCTCAAGTTTTATACCCTTCACCGAGTGCCTCATGAACCCGCAGCAGGTGTCTGTGTTCTCGCAGCCAAGTCTGCATCCCCTGGCCGCCCTCTCCATGGGACGCGTCCTTCTCCTTCCTGTTCTTCCCTCTGTTTAAGGGAGCGGCTTTTTTGAATCCTATTTCAGGGCCATAGCACTTTGTATCTGAGATTATTATAACGTGTACATGATGTGTAATGTATCTGGATCAGATGGTACAGCAGACACCCCCCTTACGTGTGGTTTTCCTTTCCTTTCAAGATTCAGTTACTTAAGGTTACCCGCTCCTCAAACATTTTAAACAGAAAATTGCAGAAATAAAACAATTCCTAAGTTTTGAATCACTTTCTATAGTATATCATTATAGTCTTTCTGTTCTGTTATTAGTTACCACTATTAGTCTCTTTTTTTTTTTTTTTTTTTTTTTGAGACAGGTTCACACTTTGCAGTACAGGCATGTCTTGAACTCACTGTGGAGCCCAGGCTGGCCTTGCACTCATAGCAGTCTTCCTGCCTCAGCCTCCCGAGTGCTGGGATCGCAGGGGTATGCCACCATGCCACACCACACCACACCCAGCTTAATCTTTTACTGTGCCTAATTTGTACATTAAACTTTATTGGTACTATACTATCCATGGTTTCAGGAGCCCCTGGGGATCTTGGACTTTATGTCCTATGGATAAAGGGGGACTATGGTGTGGACCTCTACTCATGAAGCATGGAATTGTGGCAACAAGAGGTTATATATTTGGCCCCAACCTGCTGGCAGGTGGAAGGAGGGAGCTGGGAATTACTGTTTTTTACCTCTCACGTGCGGGGTTGCATTAGTCGTGGGTACCGGTGAGGTGCAGGTTCTGCTTGGAGTCCTTTGGGGAAGGGTTAGAACAACTGAAAAGCCTTTCTACAGTCAAGTCAGGGAATCAGAAGAGTTCACGTCCCCAAAATCCCCTGCCCGCCCTGCTGCCTGTAAAGCTCATTCTGCTTCTCCCACCCTGGCAAGACTTTAAAGCCGATCCCCGAGCTGCAGCCCGCTATGGAGTGCGCAGCAGGAAGCCTGCTGCTATTATTTAATAAAGGGTGTGTCGTTGCCCACTTGGCCATGGGGCAGGCCCTCCTCTAGCAGGTGATGGGTAACTGGACCCGGGCCCCCAGATCTCCTCTGAGCAACTCCAAGTCAAACCTTTGATATCAGAACAAGGGGAGAAAACGGTGATAGAGGACACTTCCTGTCCCAGAGGGGCCATGATGCAGGGCACCTGAAACAACAGGCAGAGGAAGAGTCGCACTAAAGCTGCTTCAGGAGGACTCGCCTGGGCCTGCCCTCGCGGAGTCATCTAAGATTTGGGGGTTGGGGTGTGGCTCAGTGGTAGAGCTCCTATCTAGCGAGCCCAAGGTTGTGGGTTCAATCCCCTGGGCTGGAGAAAACACATGCAAAAGATAAAAGGCTTGGTGCGTGTGGGATGGGGCAGCCCCGCTGTCCCAGTGGTGTGTAGCTCAGTGCGCTGCGGAACCCTGTATGGGCAGAGTGGGTCCTGCCCTACATGGACTTAGTAGAGGCTGCATCCTAGACTGAAGATGGGCAGGCAAGCGGGCAGTAACAATTAGTGTCATGAGGTTTAATTTTTAGCAGAAAAAGTGCAGGGGTTTTGGAAGCCCAGGTAGAGGGCGCCTAAGCTGACTATCCTGGAGGAGTCATGGGAGGCTTTGTGGAGGATGTGCGTCTGGTGGGCCTTGAAGGATGAATAGGAGTTTGACTATGCACAGTTGTATAGGCTTCGAAGGCCCTTGGTTGGAGGAAAAAAAAAAAAAAAAGAAAGGAAAGTTTAAACTCAAGAACTTAAAAGTAGAAAAGTAAAACTTAGTGCTAGCCTTGTTTCCACAACCCAGAAGTTCTCTACTGGTTGGTTGTTGTTTGGCGGTCCCTGATGATGACGTCACTGCGGAGGGCCGGCAAATGCGCAGAACGTGTCTTCTCTTCATTTGCCCTTCCCCCCTGCCTTCCCAGGAGGAGTCTCACCCACACTGTGCGGCGGGAACCAAAGGCTGGGGTCGGATTGTCCCAGAGGTAAGGCTTCAATCTTGTAAGATGCCAGGAAGCAGCAGTCCCGGACTAGAATCACCCAACATGGTTTGAATTTTAAAGCTGGTGCCTATCCGACCAGTAGTATGCTTTAGAGCCCCGAAAGTTACCTGTTTGAGGCTGTCAGGAGTCTGAGTGAGGGGTTTCATGCAATGGAAAGTTCAGAGGATCTGGAGGGGGGCTGGGGATTTAGCTCAGCGGCAAAGCGCCTGCCTGGCAAGCGCAAGGTTGTGAGTTCGGTTCCCGGTACCAGAGAAAAACAAACAAACAAACAAAAAAACAAAAACAGAGGATCTGGAGGTTTGAATATTTCTATCTCAGCTTTGCCAGAGATTATTCGTGTGAACTTGAAGAAATCTCAGGTTGGGCACACTGTAGTCTCAGCATTGGGAGGCTGAGGCAGGAGGATCTCCGTGAATTTAAGGCCAGCCTGGGCTATGAGGTGCGTTAAAAGCCAGCCTGAGCTACATAGTGACATGCTGTCTCCAAAACAAAACAAAACTCCCATCACATGAATCAAAAATGACAGCATGCTCTGACATTTACTTATTTATCCATCTATTACTTTGCTTTTATTCTGTAGCTTTTTACTTTGAAAAATTAGAAATTTAGAGGAATATTATAAGCATAGAACCATGCTGTAGGTGGGTGTGTGTAGACAGGCCTGAGCCCTGTAGAATAAGTTGCAGACATCCTGTCATTCCCCTCCTGAAGCACTGGCCCTGCGCACTTCGCCTTCTGCTGCCTCACAGCAGGGGGAATATCGAGCTCCGGAAGGACGACATTGACCCAGTCCTTCTCTCCAGTGTGTGGTCTACGGAAGGCTTTCCCTTACGCTGTCATCATGACTATGGTAGTAGTTTTTATTTGTGATCCGGGCCTATCAAGCTTACATACTGCAGTAATTGTCACGTCTCTTTAGTGTGCTTTAATCAGGAATAATTCCCCAACCGTTTTTACTTTTTCTGTCCTGAGGCGACGCTTTTGAGGGGCCCAGGACTGTCATTTTGTGGATTACCTGCGTTGTTTGTCAGCAGCTAGTAGCAGCCGAAGGCTGCTTGTGTGCCGGTGCCCCTGCTGCTGACAAAGACACTTCAGATCAGCTTGTCTTTTTCCTTGTGGTGCTCAGTGTGGGAGGGCCTGAGGGTAGATAAGTGAAGTATAGAAAAGTGAAAATCACTGGGACAGGACAGAAGACAGTTCCTGGATGGACATGCATCTGCTCTGAAACATTAAAAAATAAGCAGGCTCTGGCGGTGTACTCCAGAGGCTGAGGCAGGAGGATCCCAAGTTTGAGCCCAGCCTAGGGTAACAGCAATTTAGCCAGACCGCGTCTCAAAATTAAAAAAGAAAAAGGGCTACGGATGTAGCTCAGTGCAGAGGCCCCAGGTTCAGTACCCAGCACGACAAAAACAAAGGCAATAAAACAGGACAAGAGCTGAGACAGTGTTACTTTTGATGGGCGCTAAGGGCGGTCTTGCAGTCTGTGACACTGAAGTTGAGACCTAAGTGTCCACAGGGAGGCGGGGCTGATGGCGGTGGCCGAGGAAGCAGAGTTCAGCCGCCAGAGGAGTGGAGCCCCAGCCGTGAGTGCAGCCGTGGGGAGGAGGGGCCTGAGGTGGCCACCGGCACTGCCCGGACCACGGAGGTGCGGCTTTCTCCTCAGTGCTGAGTGATGGGAGGAGTAAGGATGAACCCTCTACTTGAAAAGTGCCCGACTGCTGTTTGGAACACCCAAGGGTGATTGCCAGGTTGGAGTGACCTCTCCTCCACAACCTCAGAGTGATAAAAATTCAAGGTGGTGTTGGCCAGAATTTAGAAGTTTTATAAAAGGTGATTAAAAGTCCTAATTTACACTTGTGGTTGAAGTTATAGCTGAGTAACTAACTTTCTTTCTTTTGTTTGTTTCTTTCTTTCTCTTTCTTTCTTTCTTTCTTGCTCTCTTTCTTTCTTTCTTTCGAGTCAGGGTCTTGCTATGTTTTTCACACTGACCTTGAACTTACTGTGTACCCTAGGCTGGCCTTGAACTCATTGTGATCCACCTGCCTCAGCCTCCTGAATACTGGGATTATAGGTGTGTAACACCATGCCTGGCTACCTGAGTAACTTCTAATGGGGCTTGGGGCGACATCTTTTGTTCTCCTTTTTTTCCTTAAGTACTAGAGATTTTAAGTACTGTTTCAATCTCCAGTATCCAGGGCCTTCTCGTGGAGCTGTATCACTAGCCCTTTTTTATTTTTAATTTTTTTTATTTTTAGACAGGGTTTCCCTAAAGACAGGATCCCCAACTTGGGATCCTCCTGCCTTGGTTTCCCAGAGTGCTGGGATTACAGGCCTGTGCCACCACGCCCGGTCATTTTTATTTTGGGGATTGAATCCCCAGATGTGTTGGGGATTGAATCCTGGGTCCCCTCCGCCCAGCCAGTATTTTCTTACCTTATCTGCGGTTTGAACTCTCTGTCACTGATATCATCACACCCTAGAACTAACTTAGGGGTCCCATTGCTCCCAGGCAGTGTAAGTTGGCGGTGTGCTGGCCCCTGGGGCAGCTGCCTCCCACCGGCTCTTTCCTCGGGCCGCTCCTACCTTTGGATCCCCCAAATCCCACAATGGAACTAACCCAGGAATAAGAGGAAATGGGTCAGCAGGCCCAGGGAGCGGCCACCTGTCCCCAGCATGCCCTGTGCCGTGAGGGGTGTGGCCACTCCTACCCGGCTCCGCTGCCAGGGGATGTGAGGGCCACTAGGATCCTGGCACCCAGCGCTGTTTCACAACCAGAGGAGAGAGAGGAGAGGGTCACGGCTGGCATAGGGCCAACCCCAGGGTCGTTGTTGCTGTAGTTTCCTTTACCCGGCGGCTCCAGCTGTGGGCTGGCCTTGGTACATTTAATCCTTCTGCACGTGTGTCCTCAGTGAGGTGTGCTTTCCTTGTGCACTCGTTTGCCCTGTGCTTCCTGAGCCCTTCCTGCCGGGCTGCCGGGGGAGGTCTCTAAAGAGTGCATGCACCTGCAGGGGGCTGTGGGGACACAGCAGCTCACGGCGTGCCCGGCTGGTCCATCCCCTCGGTCTGTGCCTTGCTCCTCCTCGCCTCTTCAGCATCTTGGCACCTGTTGCTCCCTCTGCTGCGGCTTTTTCTGCTGCACAGCTAGCTGCCCGCCGCCCTCGGGAGCCTTCCCTGCCCCCAACTGTGTTACACCCATGCACAGGACTCTCTGTCCTTCTGAGTGCCTGGGTCCATTTGGTTATGTGCACCTGTATAAGTGTGACTGTTTATTGCTGTTTGTCTCCCCTCCTTGCCTATACACTGCGACGGGCAGGAGCCTGTCTGTGGTCATTCATCACCTCACCCCCGGGTGCCCTGTGCCTAGCTTTCTGCAGTCAGGCTCTCTGGAGAACTAGTTACGGATGGAAGCCTAGGAAGTGTGTACCTGGGGGGAAGCTGCCCTAAAGTCTGGGAAGCAAGAGTTGCCTTCCAGCTAGCAGGAGCTGGCCTGCTGCAATCCCCTCCTTGGTGGACCTCAGAGTCCCCAGGAAGATGGAGGGGAGAGAGCTGGGATGCTGAGCGCTAGTGTGCGGAGTGACTGGGCTTTTGCTTTTGGGATATCTGAAGTCAGAGCCCCCCATTTACCTTCAGCAGGCTGCTAGGAGCCTCCCTCTTCCCTCTAGCGACCAGCTTCCCCCCTCCCTTGTTATCTTGGCTCCCATTCTCCATATTGGGATTTTCTGGAAAGAGACAAGGGGCGTGTTTCATTTTTCTCCTCTGTGCCAAACCTCAGCGAGGGAGAGAGGTTCTGTGATCAGTTTTCTTCTCAGCTTCTTGTTAGGACTCTGAAAGAGTGTCCCATTTCACGGAAGACCTGCGCCAGTCTCCGATGAGCCCTGTCCCACTTGGCTTGTGTTTGTTTGCGAGGGGTGGTAGGCGAATACGTTTGTATGTCCTCAAGTCCCTGGATGTCCTGCTGGCAAGCTTTGGGAATTACAACTTAGAATCTGTGTGCAGTGTGCGGCTTATTCAGGAATAGGGCTGTAGAGGAAGACGCTGTCCTTGGGTGGTCCCAAAGAGGAATCCAACTGAGTAGCCATTAGCCCTTCCCGTAAGAGTGAAGTAGCCGCAGTCAGTCAGAGGCGAGAGACCAATGCTTAGAGGCCAGGAAGGCAGGGTTCTCTGTTGGTTGAAAGCTAGACTCTAGTTAACCCTAGTGCCCCCCAATTCTTATTGTCCCCAAGGCCAAAAGGAGGTCTGGCTTTGAGGAACAGACTTCCTGGGTGGTTACTCATCTTAGTTTCTATTTTGGTGGTTCCATGTTTTGCGGGCAGGGACTATGGTGAGCTAAATCTTGTGCGCATCAAAGAGGGCTGCTGCTCCTCAACTCGAAGCTGTTACAGCCACATGACACAGGCCGTGGCACCAGATAATCCCCTGTCTGTTGTCAGCCCAGAAGCCCTCACTCAAACGGGCTTCCTGCCTCAACTGCCCGAGGAGCTGGGCCTCTGGGGGGGTGCCGCCACCCCCGACTGTGCTCCGCTTGGTAGAGAGAAGCCAGGTGTTCTGCTTTTTAGTTTTATCCCCAGCACCAAAGGAAACATCAAAACGCAAAATAAAAATTACAAACAAGCTTCTGATTTCAGTTGTTGACAAATTCACATTTCAGAACAGTTTGTGTGTTGGACAAGATTTGTTTGTGGACTTGCTGCACCCGAGGATCGTTCCGTGGCAGTCACTGATGTGTCATCTGCAAGCCTTCCATTTTTAGGTAGCAGCCCGTAAGGCAATGGTATGAATGAGGGAAGGATTGAAGCCCCAAGAACTGCTGCAGGAGAGGGCTAGGTCTGGGCCCCAGCCCTCTGTGTACAAGCGTAGGGGCGGCCGCTGACTCTACCTCACTGAGCATGAAATGGGCAGAATAGCACTGGTCTCTGGGCAGTCGAGGTGCCCTGCACAGGCCCCAGGAGCTGTCACCCCCAGTGTCACCTGTAACGAGCTCACGCTGATGCTGCCCCGGCCCCCAAGGCCTCCCAGTGCTTCTTCTCCGGCGAGGCCTCCGCTGTCTCCCTTGACCCTTCGGCGTTAGTGAGGTCCTTCCGCGTCCTCCTGCGGTCTCTCTTGAATTCCTCTCTTTGGTTTTATTTTTCCTGGTGGACTGTGTCCACTGTTTCTATACCACCCGCCCTGCTTCTTCTGAGGCCAGCTGACAGGGTCTGCAGACCCTCTTCCTGAGCTGCACCTCCGCATACCATGGCATTGGGATCTCTTGAGCCTGTTGGTTGTGGTTCTCCGGCCCGGCTGCCGTCCCTTTCTCTGCTTTCTCCCCTGACGGGGCCTCATCTCCTGCTAAGCCTGCCTCCCTCATCTTACCAGTGATCCCTGGCACACTGATGTCCCGTCTTCACCTGGCTAACCCTGGTTCATCAGCTGGCTGTCTGCCTCAGATGCGCCTCTCTGCCGTCCTTCTCTGCTCTCATCACCCCTCCAGTTCCTCTGATACAGTGGTGATGAATGATGTATGATAAACTTGCCATTGGTCTTTCTTATTAGCCCGAAGTCCTGGAAAGGCAGTGTCACATCTGTTTACACATGTTCAGAGCATGTGCGTAGAGCACCTAGTCTTAGAGTCCCCAGTCTCCCTGATGTGAGCTGTGTCGTGCTGAGCCACTGAAACTCTTTGAGCTTGGGATTCCCTGTGAGTGCACTGTAGATGGTGAGAATGATCATCTCCGCACGCCCACTGCCGTGGGGCTGTGTGGGAAGCGTGTTGCCCCTGCCTGGTGCAGAGTACATGCTCACAAAACAATTATTGCCATTGCGGTTGCTTCTTGTCACTTAGTGGTTTTGGTTCCACCAAAAACCAGAGCCCTGTGTTTCTGGTGATGCTTTAGGGACCTCCGTGGGAGGTCATTGGATCCCTGCACTGGCCAGTCCTGTGCTAACTTTTACACGGGTTAGTGGTAAGGAAAGAGAAGAAACTGATTAAAGAGTTTCATCTTCTTCCTTTGCGTAGTTTGAGTAGTTCTTTAGGGGGTCTGAGTTTTGCCTTGAAAGTCAAGAATGTGAGCCGGGTGTGGTGGCACACGCCTATAATCCCAGCACTCGGGAGGATGAGGCAGGAGGACCTGTTGTGAGTTCAAGGCCTGCCTGGGCTACAAAGTGAGCTCAAGATCAGCCTGAACTGCGTAGCCAGACCCTGTCTCAAAAGACCCAAAAAAAAAAAAAAAAAAAAAAAGTGAAGAATAAGCAAGAGAGTCTGCTACGTGAGATGATGCAGCCAGCCTTGGGTCGAACCTCACTGCCTTGGGCAGCCTTCCCTGACCGCCCCATATGAGCCACTCCATCTCGTCACACACTTTCTTCCCTTCATCGAATTTTGATGAATTTGTGACATAGTAGTTTACTGTCTAAGACTGGAAGCTCCATGGGGCCAGGGACTTGGGCAGTGTCTGTTGTGGGGAGAAAGAAGGGGTGAGAGAAGAGAAGAAAAACATGGTGAGGTCCTTGAATACACTGTAGATGCCCAGGACCTGACGGTGCTGCTCATTCTGACTGGGGCATTGGAAACCCTGAGAACCAAGGAAGACAGTTCTGTCCGTATCTGTGTGGTTTGACTGTGTTTCTGGTAGATGCTCTTTAATTTCACACAGATCTATCCTTCTG